ACCCTATAGGACAGAGTAGAACTGCCCCACAGAGTTTCCAAGGAGTGGCTGGTGGATTCGAACTGCTGACCTTTTGGTTAGCAGCTGAGCTCTTAATCACTTTGCTACCAGGGCTCCTATGTCATGTAGTATGTAGTAGTTCTTAAATATTGATTTTTTTTTTTAATTTAAGAAAAAAACTTGCCTATTTAATTTTTAAAAAATTGTTGACATCATGAAATAAATGAAAATGTGTGCTGTAATTTTTTTTGACATATACTCATGTTAAGATTAAATTGTAAAAATGACTTAAACATTATCAAAACTCATTGTCGTCGAGTTGGATGCCAACTCACAGTAGAACTGCTCTATAAGGTTCCCAAGGCTGTAATGTTTACAGAAGCAGACTGCTACATCTTCTTCTCACAGAGTGGCTGGTGGGTTCAAACCACCAACCTTTTGGTTAGCAGCTGAACACTTTAACCACTGTGCCACCAGGGCTCTTTAAACATTGAGTAGTCCCTAAACCTAGAGAACATTAGAGTACACAGAACATTTTTCAGGGCAGAAGTTCCTATTTTTTTTGAGTTCCTGGAAGCTTTTTTCTCCATGAGTTGAAATTCTTCTGGTATTACTCTGTTTTTTTGAACAGATATTTATTGTGTGAACTTCCCCAGCATTTTTATTGGCCTAATGGCTGAGAGAATGGACTTTGGTGTCAGATCCTGGCTCAAATTCCATCTCTGCCATTAACTTGCTGTGTGACTGGGCAAGCTGCTTAACTTCTCTGGGCCCTTCCTCATTAAAATGGTGCAGTTGCAGCAATTGTGCTGTAGAGTTGCTTTGAGGGTTAAATGAGATTGCTTTTGCAAGTGCTTAGTCCTGGCATGTGGTAAGTGCCTAATAAATGGTCGTTGTAGTTGTGGTGGTTGTTGGTATTTAGTGAGCATTTCATTGTGATTCCAGTTTACATTAGAGCAGTATCTAATGGCAGAAATTAAGATGTTGGTTTCACTTCGTCTGTAATGGGTCCTCGTTCATTTTCTCACATCTTATTTCTGTGCTTCAGGGTTATTGATTTAGGAGTCATGACTCCCTGCGATAAGATACTGAAAGCTGCTCTTGACCACAAAGCAGGTACTGCGCAACGGTACTTCTGGGCACCTCACGAAATGTCGTTTCTTCCAAGTGTCTGTCAGTGAGCAGTAATGCCTCAGCTCACGTGGGACCCATGGGACATTCAGACCAGCAAATGCCAGAACCTGCATGGGGACTGCTCTTATTGCCATTATAATGAGGATTGGGCAAGATGATTAAGTTCCGGTGAAACTCCTTTATAGCTCTGGAGATGGGGAATGGGGACAGGCTCTTACAAGAGAAGAGTGTTATATTAGATAGTTCTGTGTGTGTAGTCTTTTTATGTTTCCTTGGACACTGTGACATGTTTGAGTCTGGGAAATCATAAACTAAGGATATATTCAATTGGATGGCTTCCCAAAACTCTGGCAAGTGTATTATTGCAACTTAAAGTTACAAATCATATTTACTACCAAAAGCAAAAAATAAATTAAATATCCCAGTTAGAAATAATGTCTTAGAATTAGAAATTGGAAATCCATGTTAGGTCTTGTGGTCTTAAATTTTAAAAATTGTTTCATATTTCTCATCTTTTTCTCTCATGCTCCTTTTCTCTTTTTTCTTTTCTTCTTCTTTTAAAATAATAGATATAATTGGCCTGTCAGGACTTATCACTCCTTCCTTGGATGAAATGATTTTTGTTGCCAAGGAAATGGAAAGATTAGCTATAAAGATTCCACTGTTGATTGGAGGAGCAACCACTTCCAGGTAAGTCTTACTAATGAAATTTGTTTTTAAGTTTAAATTCTCTTAAATGCCAGTGTTTAAAAACACTGCTAAAAGCTGCTTTGTTTGTTTATGCTTCATACATTGACTGTTTATTGTATAAACACATGAACTTTCTGGTCTTCACTTGATTAAGAGCCAGAATACTTTTGGAGCATAATACTATAGAAAACTCTTTCATGATTTCCCCACTCCTTCCCTTTTTTTTTTTTTTTTTTGATTCCTTTGATTTGCAGTTATTTTTTTCTTAATCCACTCACCTCCCATTCAGTTCCTGAGATTTCTAATAAACTCTTGTCTCTCTTGAAGTCAAACTGGGTGGAAAAGTTTTTTCTTTTTTTTGGCACAAAGACTTTGCTTGAACTTTTGCCCACTCCCTATCTCGAAGCAGGTATCTGGTTGAGTATTGTATGTATTATTTGTGTTTAGCTTTTTTCATGCAAGGTGTCTGTGAGATCCAACCTCATTACAGCAATAGTTTATTTATTTTTTTCACTGTGATATACTATTTCATTGTATAATATACCATGACTTACTTTTCTATTCTTGGTGAGCATTTGGGTTTTTATGATTTGGAGTTGTTGCAGAGTGTTGCTATGTACATTCTTGTATGAGCTTAAGGGCACATATGTAGGCGCTTCTGCCCTGAAGCAAAATTACTGGGTTGTAGGATATGCATATGATCCTCTTCATTAGATATTGCCAGGTAGTTTTCCAAAATGACTGTATCAGTTTACACTCCCGTATTCTCTTAAATTTTATCCTAATGGGTGTGTAGTCATATCTTTGTTGTTACTAGGTGCTGTCGAGTCAGTTCCGACTCATAGCAACCCTGTGTACAACTGAATGAAACACTGCCTGGTCCTGTGCCATCCTCACAATCATTGCTGTGTTTGAGCCCATCGTTGCAGCCACTGTGTCAGTCCATCTAGTTGAGGGTCTTCTTCTTTTTCACTGACCCTCTATTTTACCAAGCATGATGTCCTTCTCCAGGGACTGGTCCCTCCTAACATAACATGTCCAAAGTATGTGAGATGAAGTTTCACCATCCTTGCATCTAATGAGCATTCTGGCTGTACTTTTTCTACGACAGATTTGTTCATTCTTCTGGCAGTCCATGGTATATTCAATATTTTTCTCCAATACCATAATTCAAATTAATATCTTGGTATGGATGATTTGAGCACCTTTTATAGGTATATTGGGCATTTGGATATGTTTTTTAAGTTTTTTTTTTTTTAATTAGGTATTTTGCCTTTTTCTTATTAATTTGTAGACATTCTTTATTTATATTGGATACAAGTCCTTTATCAGAAATCTGGATTGCCTTTTTACAGTCTTAGTCATGTCTTTGTTTTTTGTTTTTTTTTTTAATATATATTTTTTTGTACTTCAGGTGAAGGCTTACAGAACAAATAGTTTCTCATGAAACAGTAGTACACATGTTGTTTTATGACATTGGTTAACAACCCCACAACATATTAACCCTCTAACTTCTCAACCCTTTTTTTTTTTGGTGAAACTACACATAGCCAAAGATACACCATTTCAAAAATTTCTACATGCACAGTTCAGTGACATTGACTACGCTCTTCTAATTGTGCTGTTATTCTCACTTAAGATGAAGGCTTACAGGACAAAATAGTTTCTCATTTGACAGTTACTACAAATGTTGCCCTATGACAATGGTTAACAATCTCACAACACATCAACAATATCCTGACTCAATCTTGGGTTCCCTATCACCAGCTTCCTTGTCCCCTTCTGCCTTCTGGCCCTTGTCACTGGACTCCTGTACCTCGTTAGTCTCATTTGGTTTTACGGGTCTGTCCACTCCCAGGCTGAACAGTGAACCTCGGAGGTAACTTCACCACTGAGCTAAAAGGGTGTCTGGGGGCCATACTCTCGAGGTTTCTCCAGTCTCCTTTAGGCCAGTAAATCTGGTCTTTTTTTTGTGAGTTAGAATTCTGCTCTACGTCCTTCTCCAGCTCTGTCCAGAACGCTCTGTTGTGATCCTGGTCAGAGCAGTCAGTGGTGGTAGCCGGGCACCATCTAGCTGTACTGGACTCAGTCTGGTGGAGGCCTTGGTAGCTGTGGACAATTAGTCCTTTAGACTAATCTTTTCCTTGTATCCTGTTCTCTTCATTCTCCCTTGCTTCCGAAGGGATGAGACCAGTGGAGTATCTTAGATGGCCGCTCAGAGGCTTTTAAGACCCCAGACGCTACCACCAAACTGTTATGCAGTGCATTTTCTTTATAATCTATGTTATGTCTATTGAGCTAGATGTTCCCCGAGACCATGGTCCCCACAGCCCTCCGCCCAGCAATTCAGTCCCTCAGGGCGTTTGGATATGTCTATGGGGCTTCCACTTAGTCATGTCTTTGGATAACAAAAGTTCTTAATTTTTATGAAGTTTGATTTATCAATCTTTTCCTTTATGGTTGGTGTTTTCTTTGTCTATATAAGAACGCTGCCTACTCCAAGCAGAGTCACTTTGCTAGCAAGCATTCAGGAGTTTGAATGTTTTGGGAGCCCTTATGAGGGCTCTTTTATAGACCTGTTGAAGGCCTCAGCAGTAGCCCAGTTCTTTCCTTTGCTAATTGTATTTTAGCAGATGATGGCACAGGACTTGTGAATTTTCATGAAAGCATGTATCTGAGAGGATATAACTTAGTGGCTATTCCAGACATCAGTGCCCTGAAGTGGCAGGACAGAATTAGAACTGTAACCCCAGGACACTAAATGAGGTGTAAGGCTGTCCAGTGGAGGCTTCTTGGAGAGGTTGAAAGGGTCATATAGAAGGTGTCAGATATGTGTGGAAATATGCTGGGAGTGTCCCTTTTTAACCTGTAGCTATAGAATAGAAAACTAATATAGATGGTTTTGATATCACAAGCTTGAAACGACTTTAATGGAAATCTGGCCCTGTTAATCACCAACAGAAGGGCTATAGAACTTCTCAAAGGCATAATTCTTGGCAGTTAGCTCTCAACTGTTAACTGACTTATAGCCTGTAACAAGTTTTTTTCAATTATATTTCATATAACTTACCTTGGAGATTTCAACAGGAAGTCACATTGCTTAATACTACAGGTAATTTTCTGCATTTTTTTTTTAACTCTGTAGGAAGTATGGTGCTGAATCACATAACTGGTTTTATTTTCCTCTTTGCTTTGACCACAGGGAAGCTCAGAGCTTAGGCCTGTGTATGAGATTTCGTAGAATGAATTTTATATGCTGATCGCACTCCTGATTCCACCTTAATTTTCTCATCTTAATTTTTCCTTTCTCCCATTTTTCTCATCAATTTTTAAGTTATTTGGTCATGCTGTATTTATGTAAAACACCTTAAATCATTTCTGGAATAGGTATGATATGAAGTAAAGGCTTGGAGTACTTGTTCTTTTTCCGAGTGTTTTAAAAACATCTCAGGTTTCTCTCTTCTGAGTTTAACACTACTGTGCCCATTTGGCAAGTATGGAAGGTGACTGTATTGGAATCCTAAGTGTCGGGTGAGTGCCTTAGTAGAGATAGGACCTGAAATCAGCCCCAGATTCTAGCCCTTTGCTCTTGGCATGTAGGAAGGAGAAGAGAGATTCAGATGTTTTGCATCTTTTCAGACTTCAGAAAGAAGTCTTCTTCCAGCTAGAGAAGTTTGCATCAAGGATAACTTAGAAGAAAGGAAGTAGATCCATGTCATATTATTTTATAAGGAACCAGAAGTACTCTTGAGATGAGCAGTCACAAATTGCATGCTCTACTCATCTAGCTTTGTCATTTTTTATGTTGCAAAGCAGCACGTGCTTTTATTTATTTTTTTAATAATGAAGTCCATTGCTTTCTTCTCAATGACTTGTCCAGAAGATCATCAAAGAGAAAATGACCAGAATTACACTGAGAACCCTATGTGGAATGCTTAATATACATTAATTGTATTGCGTTTAAAATTTAAAATGGTACTGGTTTTCTTTAAGAGAAGGTCATCTCAGCCACATCAGAGTTAATGTTTTCTTGAGTAGCTTCATGCAGAATATATATTGAGGCATATTTGTGTGCTTAAGGAGCTTACCATCTAAAGAAGAGAAAGCCAGCTAAGTCCAACTTATGTTTTGTAACTGGGAGTAGCTTCTTTTTTTTTTAAAAAAAAAATAAGTGTTTGAAAATTCTCCCCCTGGCAGAATACCAAGACACCTTCAGCACTTTAGGTCCTGTGCAGTAGTAGGCACAAAGCGGGTCATCATTGGCTACCCAGGCCATGGTCTGGCTCCCCCTGCTGCTCTGTATCCCATACGCCCAGTCCAGAAGATGTCTCTCTTGTGCTGACTGACTCATGCTTGAACTTCCACTTTATGGCTCCATTCTTGTGGCTTAGGCATGGAGATACTCTTGGTAAGAGAGAACAGGCTCAGTGTTATTGGTCTTGTGTGTCTCATTATGAATGAGTTTTTAAAACCTTCCCTGAGAAGCCTGTTAAAAACAAACTCATGTATATGTTACCCCTTTAATATTCTATTGGTATTTTAAAAAGTATGTCAGAAGGAGGAGAAAGGAATTATGGCAAATTCCACACTTCCTATCCCAGTTTCAGAGCCTTGGTTTAACTACTGTAAGGGAAGGCATATACATTTTCAATTCTCACCTTAATTTGTTATATTCTATAATGAAATAGCAGATCTGTAGCCTACCTTATTGCTATAAACATTCAGTAATCGGAGGGCAATTTGTTTTGCACTTTAGTTAGTTAAGTAATTTGAAGAATTAAAGGGTGTTTCTTTCTCTGTACTGACATTTTCAAGTTTGGCAGTAGGGATTTGGGGCTGATCTAGCCTTAGAATCTATTTTTGTTGCCTTTGCCTCTGTTGTTTTTGTGTAGAATTTCTGGCCCAAGGTTCCTGATTAAAAGTACAAAGTGGTTGTGGGACCAAGGAGTGTTGGTGTCTCCCTCGAATAGGGGAGCTGCGGCTAGAGAGCCGTGGCCAATTCCGGCAGTGCCCCCTCTCCTAGCTCCTGATGCCCCAGTGGCCCTGGCTGCTATCTCAGCTCATTTGGAGGAAATATTCAGTTAGACCTTTAGGACAGCAAAGTGTAATTGCCTGGGACAGGTTACCTCCCTGAGTTCAGACAGGCTGCTAATGAGCACGAGGTCACAGGCTCGGTCCTCCGGTGGTAAAAAGCTGCGGACAAGGTCTTTTCTCTTTTTGTCCCAGAATTGTTGGTAGCTGGGGCCAATCAGTTCATATCTTTTCACTTTGACTTTCCCATCTTTAAACAGAGTGAGGAGAAAGTTGTTGTTTTACAGGGAGAATTTAAAGTTCAATATTTGTAAGTACTTTGAACTCTTTTTCTGGAAAGCACTGTAGAAACACATTAACTTTAACGGCTCTGAACAAGGGTTGTGTGGAAACTGTCACTGCTGATGGATATGTTTTCTTCCTGACCCCTCTTTTCAGAACCCACACAGCAGTTAAAATAGCTCCAAGATACAGTGCCCCTGTAATCCACGTGCTGGATGCATCCAAGAGTGTGGTGGTGGTGAGTATGGGGTTTGACATTTTATTGCAGATGCATTGTAAAGAAAGAACAAAGAGAGCATTAAGAATTAAGGGTATTGCTGAGGATCTTCTATTTATTTCTGTCCAATTCTATTTTAAAATGTGAAACAGCAACCTTAGGCTTGTGATAGTGCTGCTGCAGTGTCTTGCCTTTTTGGAAGGAAATCCAGATGAGTCTGTCTTGTGCTTCCAAATGCCATCTACTGAAGTAAGCAGCTGGATGGGTAGGTCTGAGAAGCAGGAATGGTACCAGAAGAAGACACCTTTGACCTTAGAGATAATAGCTATAACCCAGAGAGATTTTTCAGCCATTTACAAATATAAATATACACTTACTTGAGTCCACTGCCAGAGCTCAAAGGAATATAGAATTTTTTAAACGAGCTATTTCCAGTCAGAAAATCACTTAACCTGGGAGGGCCAGTTGACCCTACCCAAAGACAAAGAAATATTTGCTAGCTGTTCAAAACCCAGATAATAGCTTCTGTCTCTCAGTGAATATAATAAACAATTTACTCAAGTGTCTTTCCCTGCTTTTCTCCTTCAGCAAAGCCTAATTCTTAAAGCCTGCATATCCTATCTTGTAATATGTTTCATTGAATAATAGAATATAACAGCTGGAGGAAGGAGACCATGTGGTTCAATGGTTTTCAAGTTTATCTTAGCCACAGAACCTTTTGTTCAAATGAAATCTTACCTGGAAGCTCCATATGGTACAAATAAGAGGGGGAGAAAAAAAAACCTGTTGCCGTCAAGTCGATTCCAACTCATAGTGACCCTGTAGGACAGAGGAGAACTGCCTGGAGCGCCTGGTGGATTCGAACTGCCGACCTTTTGGTTAGCAGCCATAACTCTTAACCACTATGTCACCAAGGTTTCCAAATAAGAGGAGAGCAGCCCCTTGTTCTTCATCCTACTCCTAGCTCTCACCAAAAGCACAATTTGAAAACCACTAATCTAGTCCAGAGTCCCTGAGTGGCACAAATGGTTAATGTACTTGGCTGTTAATCAAAGGTTGGAGGTTCAAGTCCAACCAGAGGCACCTCGGAAGAAAGACCTAGTGATATACTTCTGAAAAATCAGCAATTAAAATCCCTATAGAACACACTTCTACTCTGACACTCCTGGGGTTGCCATGAGTTAGAGCTGGCTTCACAGCAGTCGGTTTGGTTTGGAGCTAGTCCAGCCTTCACATTTTGCAGGTGAGGAAATTTACTGAGGAGCCCTGGTTACAGGAGAAACTACCAGGTATAGCTCACAGCCTGGGGTAATGTGGCCACATTCCTGAGCCATCTCCCAAGAGAATTCTTTCAGTCCGTGAACTCATTTACATAAACGTTATGCAATAATTGCTATCACTTACTGAACATTTCCAGTGTGCCAGGCACTGTGCTAAGTGCTTTACATGGATTATTTTATTTAATCCTCAAAATGACCTCATGACGTAGAACTTTTATACCTATTTTAGAGCTGAAACGGGGGGATGAAGAGGTTGGTAGCTCCCCCAAGTGATAGACGTGGGGTTTGAGTGCGGGTAATCTCATCTATGCCACTTTAAACTTGCTTCCATTCGTATTTAACAATTCCCCTTTATTGAAAAGGATTGAATTAAATCAGGCTGGAATCATAAAATTGCAACTTTGTATTTGCCACTGACAGAAACTAATGTGCAAGTAAGTTACATTTCTATAACTTAGTTTTAAAACAATGTTTTAGAACTTATTTTTGGATTGTGATTCTTAGGATAAGCTTAGATCAGGTCCATGGACCTCGTCTTAAGGCTCATTGCTGTTGTCAGATGCTAACGAATGGTCCTGAACATTTTTCTATTTGCAGACAAGGCTGTTGGGCCGATTTAAATACTTGGTGGTAACAGTTTCCCTATAGGCAGAACACACACTTAACTGGGCAGGAATTGGTTCCTTGATTCTCTTTGGGAGGGCAAGTTCCTTCACTGTCTTTAAGAGTTCGAGGCATCGGGGGCGAGGACTAGGCTTTCTGATTCTGGGCTGGTTGCAGTTTGGCTCCGCCTGGCAGCCATCAGTGTTTAGCTCTTTTCATAGAGAGTGGCCACTGTTTGAAATTACTCAGACCTGAGTCAGATGAGCAATCATCTGGGTAGTTGCTAGTGACACTTTTCAGGAGTAAATGTAATTTGTTTACATTGGTGGTTGGTTCAGAGTCTTTTGATGTAACTGCAGTGAACATGGGACAGGACCATGCGTTAGCTGTCTGATGTATTTGAGAAGGTTCCCAGATGCAAGCAGCTGCTTACTGGCTGGAGATTTAGGCCTGAATATGCCCTTCACTTTCTTTTTCAGTAAAAAAAAAAAAAGGTGCCAATGTTTAGTTCTTTTTAAATGAAAATATCTGTTCAACTTACTCCCTCTTCCCATGCTGCTCACATTATTCTGATTACTCTGATCGCAGATAAAGATGTTGTCATAAAAAATACAAAATAAAAGAAAAAAATAATAGCTGTAATGTGTCTCAGTAGTTTTCACTGGCGTGAAAACACAATGGTGGATTTTGACATTTTTGCGGAGGGATCATGTATATTAGCCGTATACTGGCCACGAACTTGTTTCCATCCGATAAGTCAGGCTGGGCCAGAGTCGTAACTCATTTGAGTGGCTGTCGCTGTGGCTCTGGAGTAGGGGGCTCTGTGGAAGGCCGAAGGTGCCGGCAGACTGTAATGGTCTGTTCTGTCTGCCTAATAGTACCTTTGTAATTACAGGGTACTGTAATTCTTGTTTGGATGTTAAGGACATTTGAGTTTGATTTCTCAGAGTTTATAATCTAGCAGAATGCAGCACTGTTTTAAAACACTAGTTGCACGTACTGTGGGGTCCTCAGGAGTAGCAGCCCCTTCTTGTCCTCTTTTAGCTCGGCTGGGTTCTCCAAACGGAGATTCTGCTGAGGTGAGTGGGACGTGAGGCTGCGAAATACTTTGTGGCATGAACACCGTTTGTGAGCCTGTGTTCAGGCCTGCCACAACAGCATCTTTTGATCGTTTTTCTTAATAAGGTGATTTTGTTTTTTTAATAACTTAGAGGTGATTGGATTGCTACCAGAGATACTTAGAAAACTTACATAGTAAAGTTGGTAGGCACTTACCCGTCATGCAGCTTAACTTCCACAATTTTAGATGCTGATAATGAACTTCCCTGCCTTTTGTGTGTGTGTTAGGAAAATCCTGCTGGCGAACGCAGGGGCAGTGCTTGATTTTTGAACTGAGGTGATCAGTGCCAACCTTTTTGTCCTTTGTACTTTTATTTTGAGCTCTACTGGCAGTTATTCTACTAACTGGATAGTCATAGTCATAAGCAATCTTTACTTGATACTAGCTTTACATCTTACTGAGTAACCTCAAATTTCTCAGATGATCGGTTTCCTTTTTATTTTAGCAGAGGATTACATTTCTTTAGCCCTGGGAACTGTTGACCATAAAGATTAGCCTATGTAATTCTTTCAGCAAATATTTAGTGAGGATGCACCATGTATGTGCTGGGCAGTGAGCTAGGCAGCAGGGATATGAAGAGCTTATCCTCTAGTATCTATTCTCTAGGGAAGCAGACACATAGACACATTACTAGAAGCTAGTGGTATTTGCAGCGATAGAGCGCACGAGAACCTTTGACACACTGAAGAGGGATACCTAACCCAGGCAGGAATTGGCAAAGATGGTGAAGAAAAGGCAGTGGTGTGGGGAAAGCTTTCTGAAGGGGGTGCCACCAGAACTGACCATTATTATACATTTTTTACCTGTTTTTGCTGCTCTGTGGTTGTTGTTGTTAGATGCTGTCGAGTCGGTTCTGACTCACAGTGACCCTGTGTACAACAGAATGAAACACTGCCTGGTCCTGCATCATCCTCACGGTTGTTGCTGTGTTTGAGTCCGTTGTTACAGCCACTGTGTCAGTCCATCTCGTTGAGGGTCTTGCTCTTTTTCGCTGACCCTCTACTTTACCAAGCATGATGCCCTTTTCCAGGGACTGGTCCCTCCTGTTAACGTGTCCAAATGACGTGAGATGAAGTCTTGCCATCTTCACTTCTAAGGAGCATTCTGGCTGTACTTACTCTAAGACAGGATTATTTGTTCGTGGTATAGTCAATATTCTTCGCCAACACCATCATTCAAAGGCATCAATTATTCTGTGGCCTTTCTTATTCATCGTCCAGCTTTCTCATGCATATGAGGTGATTGAAAACACCATGACTTGGGTCAGGTGCACCTTAGTCCTCAAAGTGACATCTTTGCTCTTTAACGCTTTAAAGAGATCTCTTGCAACAGATTTGCCCTATGCAGTACGTCCTTTGATTTCTTGACTGCCGCTTCCGTGGGCATTGATTGTAGTTATTGGGCTTTATTTTGCATTTTCAGTGTTCTCAACTATTAGATGAAAATCTGAAGGATGAGTACTTTGAGGAAATCATGGAGGAATATGAAGATATTAGACAAGACCATTATGAGTCTCTTAAGGTAAGTGAAAGAAATAGATTTTTGCTCAGTTGGGAACACAGTGAAGCTGTAGTTTTTATTGTGACCTTATTTACTGTTTCAAGGAGGGTAAAGGCTTAGGATCATTTTCGAGAAGTCCTGTTTTCTAGCTCAGATCAACTTTAGTGTCAAAGCTCCCAGTGCTTTTTGGTTATATTAAAATTAATTTATTCAGCCAAACATTTGTTGGGTACCCAGTAGGTGTTAGGTGCTGTGCTAGATACCACAGTTATGCTGATGAATAAAACATGAGTCCTTACCCAGCAGGAAAACAGGAACTTAAACAGTGTACTGAAATGACTCCCATAGGCCCTTGTTCCTGAGAAAATAATGGAAGAAAATGAAGACATTAAACAGGACCATTCTAAGCTTCTCCCCCTGCACTGGCCAACACTGGCTGTGCAGAAGTAATGTTTCAAGAACCACCCCTCTCTAGATAGCTTCAGGGAATCAATAAAGAGTAGCCTAATCACTCTTTAGAAGTCATTGGGATATTTCTTCCTGGTTATCTGCCTGCTGGACTTTTGGGGTCAGGGGCATATTGGGAGATTGTTAGACAAGTGAAATGACGTAACAAACTGTGTGAAGAAAACAAACGTTTCTTAGGTGCTGACTGCCAAACACTGGTTGGCTTTTTCCTTCTCCTTAAGTTTGTCACTAACTGATGATTTCTTAGATCTGCCTTGTGGGCCTAGAGGGGTGTTAGATGGCAGGCCTGTTACCACCCCGGCATCTTCTTACCTCACAGTTAGGGCTGTCCAGTCAGCCTCGTGTTTCTGTATCGATAGGGAGTGGCTGCTTATTGAATCTTCATATTGCTTTGGTGCTGACGTGAAGCTAGAGTGGAAGGAAAAGGAAGCATTTGTTCAGATAATGATTTTCGTTAATAAAAGCATTTGTTTTCTTGCAAAGCTTATGTACTGGCTTTCTTGAACATGCTTTCATAGTAATAGCTGAAAAGCTCAAAGATTCTGACTAAATAACTTTTTTTTTTTTTAATAGGAGAGAAGATACTTAACTTTAAGTCAAGCCAGAAAAAATGGTCTCCATATTGATTGGCTGTCAGAGCCTCACCCAGGTCTGTTTGGCTGCTGGTTAGAGAAAGACTGCACCTAATAACTGACGGATGCTGAAGAGACGCGTGCGCTTGCTTGGCTACAAAATCTAACCAGCTCTTAACTGTGTCTAATGATGATGACAATGATGATCAAAAATAAATGTAAATAGGTGTCACATATAGAGAGCCTATCATGGGCCAAACACTCTCCTGAGATTTACCCATGTCAGCTCACTTGGTCCTTGAGACAACTCTTTTATGAATATGGGTATTATCCTTGTCGTAATTTGAAGAAACTGAGTTTCGGGAAGTTTAATGACTTAAAAGATTACTAGAATCCTTTCTTTGAAATGTCTTCCAAACCCATACTCATTCCTTTGTGCTGTGCTTGAGTGGGCCTCCTTCAGCTTGTGAGCAAGCTCCACAGACCTGCCTGGGTGCTACTATAACTAGGTAACCGGGGTCTCCACTGGATCCAGGTATATACATGAAATGTCTGAAGATGCCTTAGCATTTAACAGACTTTCAAAACATTTCAGCAAAGGCAAGGATCCCCTGTTACTTGTTCTCTTGCTCATTCTCTCTCTGGATGCCGCCCTCTTTTTCATTTCTTCCCTTTTTTATTTCTAGCCACCTTTCCTGCCTTACATAGGTGTTCACAAGGGAATAGAATGTGTCAGATGTTTTGACAGGCTCAGAGAGGCATGTGATACAAGTGCAAAACTGAGACAGGGTGAACAGGGGTTATATTAATTGGATCCATATTTCTAAGGTAATATCTCAAATCAGCATTCATTGCTTATGACATCTGTATTCTACACATGCTCAGCAGAGTTCAGGGGATGAAATTGGAAACGTAGGTGTTCTTGGTTCTGATTTCATTTCTGTTGAGTGCAGTGTGGCGTAGTGGAAAGAATGCTATACTGGGAGTCAGGAGGCCTGGGCTCTAATCCTGACTTTGCTACTGACTCTGATTCACTGAGAGACTTTGACCATCTTACTTCCATGTTTGACAGTTTTTAATATATAAAGAAGGTGTTACTTTATGGAAACAGTGTGAGAATAGGATAAAAGATACCATGTGAAAACCTTTGAAAAATATAAATCACTGTATATTCCTAAACTATTATTATTAGTTCTTTACCTTTCACTATGAAATTGGAATAATAGCACAAGGGAAAGTCCATTTTAACCAAGTCAAACATGCAAACAATACATTGGTGGAAATAGTCCTCTGAAGGCAGGTAGTTGTACGAGGGCGGCAGTGGTGACCCTTCTGGAGTGGCCACTAGTCCCTGGGGCAAGTCCATTGAAAGGCTCTGTACCTGCCACCTGAGGGACTATTGAGTCCCCTGAGGAGCCCCCCTCAGAAATGTTTGTGAGGATGATCCAGTCTCTGGGGAGTTGCAGAAAGTAGATAAAGGGAGAAAGTAGGGTTCTCTTAAAGTTTTTGGTGTCAAAACCTCACACAAACCTTAAACTCTGGCAGATAAGCTTACTCAGAAATAAAATCCTTCAGTTTCTAAGAAGCAAGGTGTTTCTCTCTGCCTTTTCAGGCAGGAATAAACTTGAATCAGAAGGATATTGGACTTTCATTTAGTTTCTCTACTAAAGGGACAGTATAAACTTTGTTACCCAGGAAAATCAACATAATATTTCCAAAGAAGGGATTGTTTTGTGTAGGAAAAAGATGCCAAAAGACAAATGGGAAAGAATTACTGTGAACAGATGTAAAAGAAGTGGATAGTTTCAGGCCAAATTCATAAGCTGTTCGGACTTCTCTTTTCCTATACTCTCACCTCTGACTTTTTACCATCAATGAAGGAAAAATACTCTTGAGACTAATATTGTATCCCAGAACACCTGAGATTAGAGGTGTAGGAAGCTCTCTGATTCCTACTTCACAGATGAGGACACTGAAAGTCATGAGGGCTGTGAAGCCGGCAGGGAGTCGGCACCTCCTAGCCTGGCCTGAGCCCACCTGGTGCTTGGCCCCGCAGGGTAGTGGCCCTCAGTGTCCCCAGAAAGCCCAGCAGCACCATGACTCTGAAGCCTTTACTGTTATTTAAAGTATGATCTATTTTAAACTCACAAAAAAGTATAAAAAACAGTATGTTGACATCGACATATACCTACTAGCCAGCTTAAGAAATAACCTACCATCCGTTTATAATAATAGAATACCCTGTAGTGGAAGTCTCCTGTGTGCTCCTTCCTGATCCCGTTCCTCTCCCTCCCCTGCCGAAATAACCACAGTCCTGAATTTGATGCTTCATTTCCATGCATTTCCTTAGACTTGTACTATGTGTGTATGTAGCAGTAGACAACATAGATTATTATTTCATGTTTTTAAAATTTATATAAATGGCTTAGTATATATGTCTTTCTGCAGTGGCCTTTATTTTATTATTTTCTTAATTTATACAAGTGAAGATTAACCCCAAGTTTTTCTTTTTCTTGGGAAGGGCTTGGGGGTAGAAGGGTGGAGGGAGGCATTTCTAAGGCTGGTGTAGTCAGCTGCATGGGATGGATAACTTTATTTAAGATTCAATGCAGAATTGTTCCTTCTCTGAGATAATTTAAAGTTCCTCTCTTTGTAAAACAACTCCTACAAGTGACAGGAGTGAGACAGAGCGTGGGAGTCACAGAGCAACTGAGGAGCTGGGGGGAGGCCTCTACTAGGTAGTGCTTGGGCGAGAGGCTGCTCAGTACCAGGCCCAGGGCGTTACCATTGACAACCAGTATTTCCTTCCTGTAGCGAAGCCCACATTTCTCGGGACGCGAGTCTTTGAAGACTATGACCTGCAGAAGCTGGTGGACTACATTGACTGGAAGCCTTTCTTTGACGTCTGGCAACTCCGGGGAAAATACCCTAACCGAGGCTTCCCCAAGATATTTAACGACAAAACAGTAGGTTAGTTCGGTAAATCCTTCCTTCCTGCCACTGATATTCAAGATGTAGTATTGGGACTTTGAAGATAAGAATAGGCAATAAGCAGTGGATTTGGATTATGCAGGATAGTGCTGCTCTCATATTGTTTACCTGCTATAAAAATGGCAGCTTGGTGAGGGTGTCTGACCTCCTTTAACTTCAGCAGGGGGAGGAGAGGGAATCAAGATCAACAGCCCAAGGCTGATTCCTGTGAGGCGGAGGTCAGGCACATCTCCGATGTCCAACCTTTTTACCAATTCTGACACCAGCCATCCCTCCCACAGCACTCTGTATTTCTCTGCTGGGTTCGATGATTTGTTGCAGTCGCCACACAGAACTCACAGACAGTACTCAAGATTATGGGATTCTTAGTGAAGTAACAGGTTGTAATTTAGAATCAGGAATGACTCAAGATACAGTTCTTCAGTCAGGACAGCTTCTCGGCCATGCTCGCAGGCAGGCCTCTCCTTGGCCCTTGGGCTTCTTGGGCCTCTTGGGCCGAGCAGGCCTCTGCCCTGCTCGGGCAAGTGTTACAAAGCTCTTTAGCTCCACCAATAAGTGCCCAGAGGCACCCTACTCTACCAGTAAGGCTTGGCCTGAAGGTGCTCAGCTCTCTCACTCCGTGGGTTGGGAAGCTGAGCTCCACCAAGTGCCCTGAGGCACCCTACTCCACCAGCAAGCCTTCTGCCCAAAGGTGCTCAGCTTTCTTGCTCCATGGGACAGGAAGCCCACTGTGCCGTCTCCTGCTGGTCTCCTGGTTCTGCTGCCGCTGTTTTTCTGCCACTGCTTCTTGCCGTATCTGGTGTTAGAACTCTTTCTGTCTCCTGGGTTTAGAAGGTTCTCAGTGCAGGGATCCTGGGTCCACAGGACATGCTGTACTCCTAACTCTTCTTTTTTGGTGGTAGTGAGGTCCCCCTCTGCCCTGGGATTGACTCTTTTAAGCCCAGTGGGATGTCAGAACTGACCAATTCCCTCATTATGGTTCCATATACCTTAAATGTGTGGTCCCACCCCCAACAAGGGGTCCATGCACTTATTTGCATTAGCAGCAAGCTGTCCAATCCCCTTGGGCCAAAAAAACCTTATTTGCATAGTCCCACCCAATCACTGTGTGGGAGACACAAAGACTGGCTAAAAGGGCCGTATTAAGTAATTCACTGTACCTCACCTTCTTAGCTTTTTAATGGTTTTTAAACTGCTAGGGCTCAGCTAGACATCTCTTTTATTCATCCTTTTAATAAATGTTTTTTGGCATCAGTTACATGCTGGGCTGTGTACTGGGTACTAGGGATAAACAAAAGAATACATGTAATCCCTGCCTTCTAGTAACTGACAAGCTGGTGCAGCCAGTGAGTAGATGGCCAATTACTGTGCAGTCTGCTGAGCTGTGGAACTGAGACAGGCTTCTGTGGAAACAAGAAGGGGAGATAGACCTCAGACTGGGAGGTCCAGGCAGGCTTCCTGGAGGAGGTGGTGTTGGAACTGCTTTTTGAAAGTTAAGTGGGAGTTACTAAGTCTGGAACTGGGGACATGTGGAAGAAAAGGATATTACAGGCAGAGGAGATGAGGTGTGAGAAGGTACAGAGACATGTGCTGTTTGGGGAACCACAAGGAGTCCATAGTTCCTGAGCATTGGTGTAGGGAGGGGGATTGTGGGAGGTAAGCTAGAGAAGTGGGTGAGTACACAAACTGCTAATTATTTATTTAATGATTAAGGAAAAAATAAACTACATTTTATGAGCATCTTGGGAGTTACCTAGGTTCTAGCTCTACCCCCAGAACCCACTCCCAGAGACATGGGATCAGAATGTCAAGCCATTTGAAGTAATCAGTAGGCCATAAGAGCAAGATGGAGGGCAGACTGGTAGAAATAAGGGCTTGGGGCTGAGAAGACGCTAAGCAGCTGGCGTCATATGGTGTCTTGGAGAGGTCCTTGGTGTGCATGCTAGGATTCTGACAAGTCGAGGCTCTCAAGCCAGCCAGGAGTGCAGCAGTGGGAAAGGGGGTTCTCATCCTCAGTTGTCCCTGAGAAATCACAGGCAAGCAGGAGAGTGGCTTTAGTAACTCCCTGATGGCCACCTGTGCAAAGCTGTACAGGCCACACCCTCAATAGAAGGAACCGAGAACTCCGCTGGCTCCCCAGTAAGGTGGGAAATGGCTTCCCTTGTGCAGGTGGAACCCATCTGGGAGCTCCCTTGAGCTGAGGCCACGTGGTGGTGGTGCTGAAGCTACTTCAGAGGTTCAGGGCCACACTTCACTTCCCGACCTGTTTCATGTCCATTGAGGTCACTGTGAAGTCAGTGGAGCTGCATGTGCACGAGGGCTGTCTGTGACGGAGGAATCCGGCCTGCCTTTTCTCTCTGTCTGATCGACTGCTTTGGGAGCCACAGATCTGGCTCTCTGCCTTTTGTTAAATGGAAACATTTCAGTGGCTGGAGCTGGAGAAGCAGACTGCTGGAGCTGCACTTAGCAGGAACCACTGAGCCCCAGCTCCTCCGCAGAAAGTCATGCTGATGACAGGCACTAAGAAAGTATTTGAGGGGAAACAGAGGGCAGAGAGAGAAGATTACTGGAGGGGGTTAGTGATTTTAAAAAGAAGCATTTTTTGTTGCTTATTATTGGCATGATTAAGTGATTCTTATTATATTTTCCTAATAGGTGAAGAGGCCAAAAAAGTCTATGGTGATGCCCAAAATATGCTGAAAGCCCTGATTAGTCAAAAGAAACTCCAAGCCCGGGGCGTGGTTGGGTTTTGGCCAGCGCAGAGTGTGCAGGACGACATCCATGTGTACGCAGCGGACGCGGTGCCCCAGGCTGCAGAGCCCATAGCCACCTTCTACGGGCTGCGGCAACAGGTCCGGAAAGTGTGTGAATCCTTGACTCTCTAAGCAGTGCTGCTTATGTGCTTTGCCCCTTTTGGCACAGAATTTCGACTCCATTTGAAAGCTGGAGCCCTCCTGGTCCAGATATTTAACCCTAACAAGATCTGCAGGGATTCTTAAATTTGGGACCTTAAACAGACACCGTAGAGTTAAACAAGGGCAGCTAAGTCCTTACTGTTTGCACCAGGCTCAGACACAGAATACGAGGTAGTAGAGTTCTGATAGTAAGTCCATCCCTCCTGATGAGGGAATTGGCGACTTTCTTTTACAGGTGTAACTAAGCTAAAAAGCCTCTGCCCTGGTCTTTCATCATTCAAGTCCTGTGTCCTCCTCTGATCTCTTTATGTCCAGCACCATTCGTGTCCCGGGTCAGCGTGTGAGGTACTGAACAGGGCATTTAATATAATGAATTCTCAGAATTCGCCTTTTTAAGAGTCTCTGCAAAGGGGAGCTGGACCACAGACATGTGTTTGCTATTCAGCTAGATATCTCTGAGAAGGTGCTTTCCTCTAGTACACTCTGGAAAAGCAGTGACCTACTGCTGGGAGTCTTCTCTTACGTACAGGCTCCGACTACTGTCCTCTCTGAAGGGCTGCGGGTCTCTGTGACCTGTCCCTCCTTGTGGTGCAGGGAAGCTTTGTGTCCCCACTCTGGCTTTGGTTAACAAAGAATAGTTGACAAAGCACAACAGGGACATGATCCCTCTGTGCCCAGCTGTCACTAAGCCTGGAACATTTCTGTGCTCCATTTATCAACACCTCCTCGTCTATAGCCCTTAACCACTTTCTCCCCAGTATTGGTTAGGCTGCCCTGGCTCTGGGCCGGGCCACTCGCTGATAGCGTGATCATCAGGGGCATTGGCTGTGGTAACAGACCTCTGGACCTGCCACTGTCTGACCTTGAGCTAGTTGATTAAGCTCTTTATGCCTCAGACTGGTTGTTTGTAAAATGGAGTCGGTAGTATCAGCGCACAAGGTGGTCAAGAGTATTGGCTTAGTTAATGCGTATAAAGCACTTAGAACAGTGCCTGGCACATAGTAAGTGCTCAGTAAATATTAGTAATAAGCTGTCTGTCTTCTCAGCACATATTTATTGTTTGTGTAAGACGTGTGAGATCTTAATTGTCAGATGACTCCTTAATTGTCAGCTTAGTACCGGTGTTGGCCTCCAGCTGAAGATGGAGGTGAGCTAGGATAGGTATCTGGCCCTGTGGAGAGAGTTTCACAAGCAAACCCTGCTGGGTGCTTAACTTGGTTTCTAGCTAGCCCCGGGGTACCCTTCATCGCCCCCTGTCATCCTGCCGTGGTTGGCAGCAGTGGCCTATATGTTGCTGATCCTGGGAGTTTGTTGCACTGCTTCTGTTGATGCAAAGCAGAGGCTTGTACATTTAGTGGGCACCTTTCAAACCTAACTCCAGGGTGTAGTGTTGACCTTGAATTAAAAACACTTTGGAGAAAATTTATTTTTGATGTGAATGTTCATGGTTCCAGCTCCTGGTTGGTGCCTGTAGGCGTTTAATGAATGTTTAGTCCGTGCGTGAGTGAGCCAAGTAACAGTTTCCTGACTATGTCTTGTCATGTTGTGTCCTGGACTCTTAAAATCATTTGCTTATTCAACAAATACTATTGAATGTTCTCTGTGGATCAGGCACTATCCTAAGTGCTTGGGTGTCACAATGAAGAAGAGACTGGTAGCCCTGTCTGGGAAGCCTACATTCCTTTAAAGCTTGGAGATTGCTTTCCCTGTGTGTGTTAGAATGTGCCCATGCTAATGCCATTCTCTGCCTACTGGTTGGCTTTCAGGCTGAGAAGGACTCTGCCAGCACAGACCCGCACTACTGCCTCTCGGACTTCATTGCCCCCCTGGAGTCCGGCATCCGGGACTACCTGGGCCTGTTTGCCGTTGCCTGCTTTGGGGTTGAAAAGCTGAGCAGGGCCTATGAGGAGGAGTGTGACGACTACAGCAGCATCATGGTCAAGGCGCTGGGGGACCGGCTGGCAGAGGTAAAGCAGCACAGTACACCTAGGCCAGAGTCCAGGGGATGGGGGAGTTATGGACAGTGAGGAAATTCCACAAGGGGCGCCCACACTAGCCAGCCCTCAGCACCAGCGTTGTAGGTTTTATTTTTGTTTGTTTGAGTCAGATGCTGCTGGCTTTAGCGTTAGAGACATTTTAAAATCACGTACTCCCAAATTGCTCTTACACATCATTTTCTGGGCAAAGGAAAACCCTCAGCAATGCCGTAGCTGGCTGTCACCCTTAGAAACTTGGCCTCTCTGCCTTATTTCTCATGTCTCCTTTGCTTGTTATGATGTGACATTTTCCCAGGGAGCGTGAAGAATTAAAAACAGATTCTGTTTGATAGCCCTCATTCTTGTGCTGTTATCTTATATATAAACTCTTCATCTTACTATGCATGGAGTAGGGCAACTTGAGCCACGGGGATGTTCTTCCCCCCTTTCCCTGAGGCTGACAGTGGGGGACTCTCCATTGTAAAGTTTCCATCTTTTCTTTATAGTCAGCATAAGCTGCAGACTGATAGGAAAATTCTTATGCTAGAAGGCCTAGAACCTTCCGATCATTAAGTGTGATACTTCAGAGCACAGGTTGAGGCTAACATGAAGCAGCCGAGCAGCTAAGGAAGGTACAAAGAGGTCGAGAACCCAGCATGTCCTCTCTTGCCAGATTTTCCCTGGCTGTGGTGCAGATGAGGGGGCTGTTCTCCCTGGCTTGGGTTTTGGGGTGGAAGAAGAGTGGGTGCTGTAGGCTCCTCCCTCTGCCTAAGCACGCTTGGTGCTTTGGTTCCCCAGGCCTTTGCAGAGGAGCTCCATGAAAGGGTCCGCAAAGAGCTGTGGGCTTACTGTGGCAGCGAGCATCTGGACATGGCTGGCCTGCGGAGTCTGCGCTACGAGGGCATCCGGCCCGCGCCTGGCTACCCCAGCCAGCCTGACCACACCGAGAAGCTCACCATGTGGAGACTCGCTGACATCGAGCCCTCCACAGGTACATGCCCCCGGGGTGGAGGGGCGATTCTTTCTTTTTTAAATAGATATATTATTGTCAAAGTAATGGCACATGCGGATCCCTGATGGCGCAGTGTTTAAGAACTCAGGCTACTAACCAAAAAGTCGGCAGTTCAAATCCATTGTCCGCTCCTTGGAAACCCTATGGGGCAATTCTACTCTGTCCTATAGGGTCACTATGAGTCGGAATTGACTGAACGGCAGTGGGTTTGGTTTTTTCGGATTTTAATCGCACATATGGTTAACAATCAAAAAATATGGAAGGGATTATAATGAGAAGAAATCACTCCTTATCCCTTTCTTCCTTACTTTTAGCTGTTTATTCTAATATTTATCTCTATATTACTAAATAGTGTTCTCATACCACCATTTTTAGATTTGTCAATTTTAATTGTTATCTCTTTACCTGTAACAAATGGGAATTTAGCTTACGTATACTGCCTTATGGAGCCCTGGTGGTACATGTTAAGAGCTTGGCTGCTAACCAGAAGGTCGGCAGTTCAGATTCACCAGCCACTCCTTGGAAACCCTATGGGGCAGTTCTACTCTGTCCTGTAGAGTCACTATGAATTGGAATCGACTTGACGGCAATGGGTTTGGTTTTTTTTTTTATACTGCCCTATGCCTCTCCTGCCCCATCTTCCTATTAATTTCTTGCTCCAGTGGTTAGAGCCAGCATCTCTGTTCATCCCTTTTGTAGGACTCCCACCTTCTTTAGCTGTCTTTTCTCTTTACTTTTACACTGTCAAGCTTAATAACATTTATATCCTCTTCAATCACCATAATTCTCTTCTATGTTTTGTCTGTAGATTGATTCAAATAGTTGAAAATCAGAAATTGACACCTGACCTCTTGAGGCCTCAGTGCTCCTCAACCCAGAGCAGAATTGATCATGGTTCTGTGGCTGTGTGTCGTTGCGTCCGTAATACCAATTACTGTTCTTATTGCATATTTAATATAGTTGAGATGACCCAGGAAAAATCTACAGTTTTCAGTGGAATTAATCAAAAGCATGCAGTCTAATCTGATGAAACTGAAATAATCTAGATTTAAGTGAACTGTGAGGCTGTGTTGAGTCTGGTTTAACAGAAACAACACTGACTAGGAGTCATGAGATCTGGGTTTGAGTTCTGTTTCTGCCATAAGCTCACTGGGTGACTTTTGGCAAAGCACTTAACCTTTGTGTTGCTCTTGTCCATCCTTGTCCTAGTAGCTTAGACTAGATGGCCTTTACAATCCCTTTGAGTTTCAAAATTCTAAGAAAAAGTATGTTTTCTTTCTAAATACTGTTGTGGTCATCCCTAATGTCATTGGGCCAGTAGCCCTTGGAAGGCCAGTCAGATGGTGCTCTCATTTCCAGGATTAGAGCTCCTGGCATGAGTAGACTTAGGCTTAGAAGCTAATCAGGGCCTCTGTAGCTGATCTCGCATGACTGGGGGTAAGAGTGTAGGGCGCCTTTTCCAGGCCTGTGCCCCTGGGTTAGAGAAGAGCTACATGTCCTGAATTTGGTCATCCCCTTGAGAGGAATTTGCTCGACTACTCTGGTCACAGCTTTCTTGCTGTCTTATGTGTCCACCTATAAGGCCTGAGTTCATTTTCATTCCCTAGTGTTTGTTGAGTGCCTGCCAACAGCCAGGCACTGTGCTGGGCACTGAAGTCATGCCCTTTCTCTGTGTGTCTCTCCTCCTAGGCATTAGGTTAACGGAATCACTAGCAATGGCACCTGCCTCAGCAGTATCAGGCCTCTACTTCTCCAATTTGAAGTCCAAATACTTTGCTGTGGGGAAAATTTCCAAGGATCAGGTAAGTTAGCTGTTTCACTGCATATGGCTTCCCTAGGTACCTGTCTTGTTTTCAATGGAACTCTAGAACCTATTTTATTTTAAAAGTGAGTAAGAACAAAATGAGAGGAAGGAGGATGTAGAAGTGTACCCATTTAAGTCTTAATTTGATTTCAACCCATTACTCCGATTTTACCCCCTGCCCCCACTACACACAAACCTCACATACACCCCAGCCATCTTTCAAACTTCAGGTATTTACTGCATGTTGTTTTTCTGCCCAGAGAATAAGACAACTTGGTAGGTAGATAGATAAATCTCTGTGTCCATTTAACTCAGTACATTGCTATTAAGACAAGAAATGGAATGCACTTAATGTTTCTTGGCAAATCCTGTAGAAACTGATATCACTTTGATATAATGAGCTGCTTCTCATCTTCTTTTGCAGGTTGAAGATTATGCTCTGAGGAAGAACATGTCTGTGGCTGAGGTTGAGAAGTGGCTTGGACCCATTTTGGGATATGATACAGACTAACTTTATTTTTACCTTTTCTATACTTGGTGATCCTCAAGGAAACATAATCCAGAGTGCCTTAAAAACAGCAACAGCAACTAACCCATTGACATCTGCCTAATACCTGCCCGGCTTCAAGTTTTGGAGCGCTGCTTGCTGGAGCCCTTAGAGGGCTGGGTGTGCCTACGGCGCCTGGAACCACGCTGCCGTTCTGTAGGGGCCTTGAGTGAAAGCAGCGAGCAGCGCTCTGAAGGCAGCTCTGGTCCCTCAGGACTGGGACAGGCTGGAGGTAGAGGCCTTTTGCATTTCAAAGCAAGTCACCTTGCTTTTTTTCAATTTTTACTTTAGATCTAGGAGGCCACTTATTCCTTTAATTTTCTTTCTCTTAGAAAAAAAAGCCTGAAGCTCAGTTGAATAGAGAAGTATATAGAGAAATTTGACCCTGTGGCAAAATGATGCTGTGAGAAATGATGCATTTTGATCTAAATGGTTACAGCATAGACTCTGACAGGGAAGAAAGTATAGCTGCTGCTCTCTCCCCAGAAGACCTCATTTTCTAAAGCCTCCAGTAAATGGTTGCAGAACCTTCTTTGGCAAAAGGCACGCTCTTACCACTTGCTTGTCAAAAATTCTCAAGCTGTTTGCACCAGTGTGGTCAAGTACAGTGATTTTCTGCAAGCATTTTTGTCCCATAATTTCATATTCCCTCACCCCCATCTCACCCCCCCCCAAAAAAAAGTGAAGAAAGAGCATGGCAGCAGCCTCTCTGCTATGCGGTGGCAACGAGCATCTTTCTGTTGTTTGCTGGAACTGAGCAGGCTCTCGGCTGAACTGGGTGTCCAGCGCAGAGTTGGACAGGTGAGTGGCGGGATGCCATTCCACTGAAGAGGCACTGGGAGCAGGTAGGGGACGAAATGCTGGGCAGCGTCTGGTCCCTGCCTTCAAGGACAGCCCCTTACACATACCTAGCTCATTCCTGCCCTTCACCCACAAGCTCTCCTCCTCTCCCCTTTTGTCCAAATTTTAGCTCATTAGGCTTAGTACCGCTCTCCACTTACTATAAAGTCTTCTCTTTCTGTGCTAACCCAGCTCCACACTCATACAGTTTAGGAATAGCACGTTGACATATTCTCAGTTATTTCAAAAGGGGAAACGGTTAATCTGGACATACCTGGATTCAGATTTTAGCTTTGCATATATGACTTGGGCAAATGACTGAAGACCTCTGACACTCAGGCTTCTTGTCTGCGAAGCAGGGATAATGATGCTTGTTCCTGTCTCGTGGGCATGAGGTGTGCGGATTAAATGAGGGGATGTTATAAAGCAGATAACATGGCAGCTGGCACACAAGTAAGTGCTTAATAAATGGCAGCTTCTGTAGAACTCTGTTGGCAACCCCTCCAGAGCTCAGCACATAGTAGGCGCTCATGGAAAGGACATAAGAGATTAATGGAGGGAAATGGTGAAAAGATACTAAGGAAATGCATATGGTAGTGACTGGATTGGGTGTTGTAGGCACTCTGTGATTTTAGAACCCTGTTGAACACTGACGGGGAAGGAGGAGCCATCTCCTGCATCATAAGCACCATTGCTACTCATTTTCTGTGAGACAAACCCCCTCTCTTGGTAAGCTGGCCTTGCCCCAAAAGCTGGCCTTGCCCCTATCAAATGTTCATCCAGGTATATTGGATGTGAAAGAGAAAAAAAAAAAAAAAGAACAAAAAACCCTAGAAAATGATAATCCTACATATCCGTCTTATATACATGTTTGTCTACAGAGCAACATAAGGCATTGCTAGCCATTACAGTGAGTGAACCGTGTTCTCTTTGGGTACATTTAATTTGTGCTAGATTGAGAATGGGACCTGATTTCCTGAGACACTTAGTTGGAGAACTCATTTTCTGTTCCATAGCAGGTATATTATTCTAGGCTTTGGTACCTCCTTAAAAATATTTTATATTTAATTTCAATTATAGTTACTAAGAGTCTCCCGATTTCATTAAATATTTACCATATCTTCTGTCAGCTTGTTGTGTGATGGAGTAGCTCCCATAAATATATTGTTCATCTAATCTGATGACAGATGGCTTGTTTTTCTAAAGACAAAAGAATCTGCAAGTTTGAGTACCTATATGTATATTAAAGACTATAAGGTATGACTTGAAAACAGTAAGCTGGGCTTGTACACTGAGGAGGCTTCGTGTATGTCAGGAGTGCCAGCAAATCAAGAACTTTAAAGGCAGGTAGGTAGACATTATGAACTGGGTCTTCTTTGCATTGATGAAAATACATCCATAACATCTCATTATCGTCAACATCTGTGACTCTGACATTAACTGACTCACTCTTATCACTTCTTGTGTGATTACAGATCCCATATTTATTTTTTTCTCTAAAGAAACACTCTTTCAGAATCTTCCTCACTCTCTTGCTTGCTCTGCTATCTGAACTGAGGAGGCTGGTTTGTGGGTTAAGATCAGATTTTTTTAGTACCCTGTTTCTCCTTTGAGATATTCTGCTACCATCCCCCCTCCATTTACAGCTGAATTCATTTAGAGTTCTTTATATTTCCCTCAGGCATGCTCAGCAAATATTCGAGTGCCTGCTATGTGCCGGCCACCTTCTCCTCTCATTCCGTCCTTACCTCAGTGGAATCAGGTTTCTTTGTTCTTGGTAGTTGCCATTAAGTCAGCTGAGACTCTTGGTGACCTTATGTATAACAGAACAAAATGTTGCCTGGTCCTGTACCATCTTCACAGTTACTGTTTGTGTCCATTGTTGTGGCCCCGATTTATTTTGAATGCCTTCCAACCTAGGAGGCTCATCTTCCAGCACTGTATCAGACAATATTCTGTTGTGGTCTTTAAGGTTTTCATTGGCTAATTTTTGAAGTAGGTTGCCAGGCCTTTCTTCCTAGTCTGTCTTAATCTGGAAGCTCTGCTGAAACCTGTCCACCATGGGTAACTGCTGGTATTTGAAATACAAGTGTCACAGCTTCCAGCATCATAGCAATCCATATGGTACCCCAGTACAACAGGTTTCTTTGCCCGTCAATGGCCTTTCCAGTGGTTTTTCTTCTCTTTGTGGTTGAACAGTATTGACCACTCTTTCCTCAAAAGTCTCCTTTCCCTGGTTCCCTCTGGACATTACTCTTCTGAAGATAACCTTCTACTTTTCTGATCATGTTTTAGCCATTTTCATGGTTTTCTTTCGTCTGCCCACTTCAATAATGATGTTCCCAAAGGTATGTCGTTAGTTGCCTTCTTAGTCTATACAGTTTCAACGGGCAATCTCATGCAATCAGTATCTCCACCTAGATTCCTCTCTCCTGAAGAACGTAAATTCAGTAGCCTCCTCCAGCGGGACATACAGACATCTCAAATTCAGTATGTCCAAAACCAGCCTAATCTTACGCTTCTCAGATTCTTGATAGATTGAATAATGGTGCTACCATTAAAGCAACAAACCTCCAGCTCACTCCATGTCATCTTTTTCTTGGACTATTGCAGTTATCTTAAACATATGAGCATAAAAAATACATTTATTCTACTTCAGTTGGTGGGGATGTTCAGGGAAGGCAGTGGCTAAGGCCTGATTTGAGACTTGATGGATAAAGATGAAGAAGCAAGGGAAGGAGGAACAAGTGAACTATCTATGTTCATGAATAAATATAAGGTAAAAGGCTGTAAAGGTGTTTATTCTCCCTAAATTGATCTGCAAATTCAGCGTCCTTTCCAGGAGAAATTGCAACAGAGGTTTTGTTGAACTTGACAAGCAGAAATTAAAATTTATATGGAATAGCAAAGGACTAAGAGTAGCCAAGATGCTTCTAAATTTGAAGAGGTTGAGGAGACTTACCTTAAAAGATATTGTGGTTTATTGTAGAGATAGTGTCCTAGATGGTGTACAGGTAGGCATTCTAACCAGTTGAACAACATAAAGAGCCTGGAAACTAACCACATGTATTTTGACCTTTAGATATGACAGGTGACATGGCAGTCAGTGGGGACAGGAAGGACTTACTCTATACGTAGTGCTAGAACAAGTGGTTATCCATATGGGGAAAAAGTTTTTGATTTCTGCCTCATAACTTACACAGCAATCAGTTCCAAATATATCAAGAGCTTAAATACAAAAGGCAAAAATTTTAAATGTTTGCATGAAGAAAACCTTAGGATAGGAAAGAATTTCTTTAGACACAAATCACTAAGTATAAAATAAAAGATGATTAAATCAACTGTATTTAAATTAAGGACCTCTGTTAAGCAAATGGAGCACTGGTGGTGCAGTGGCGAAGAGTTCGGCTGCTAACCAAAAGGTCAGCAGGTTGAATCCACCAGCCGCTCCTTGGAAACCCTCTAGGGCAGTTCTGCTCTGCCCTGTAGGGTCACTATGAGTCAGAATCAACTCCACGGCAATGGGTTTGGGCCTGGCTGATTAAGTAAATAAGCAATGTAAAGTAAGTGAAAGGACAAGTCACAACTTGAGAAGAGAGATTTACAATACGAATAATTGACAAAGGATTAATAATAAGAGTATATGAAGAATTTGTATTTTAAAAAAACTCAATAGAAAATACTTGGAAAGGCATTTCATAGAAGAGGAAATACATAGGGCTTATAAACAAATAGATGCTTCACAGCATTGATTGTCAGGGAAATACGAATTAAGACTACAATGAGATTCCACTTTACATTCACTAAATTTGCAGAAATTAGAGTCTGACAATACCATGTTCTGAAGAAGATCTGTGGGAACTCATGCATTGTTGTGGGTGTGTAAATAGCCACCACTGTTTTAGAAAATAGTTATACCTCACAAAGCTGAACATTTACATACCTACGATCTAGCTTACGACTCCTAGGTGTATATCCAACAGAAACTTGCACATGTGCACCAGGAGATATGTGTGAGTTTCAGTTTATGGTGATGGAAAAATCACATTGATTAAGGGGAGCGTTGTGCAGCTGATTAATGTAATTGCTGTCAATAAGTTGTACACCTGTAAGAAGTTGAATTGGCAAAAGTTGTGTGATGTATTAACAACAACAACAACAAAAAATGAAGAGTAGCTGCTAAGGCTGCTTATATACAACCAAACACCACATAGGATTTGGTTCCTTGGTTCGGAGGTTTAGGGTTATGGTTTCATGGGACTTCCCAGTTAATTGGCCAAATAATCATGTTTAGCGCTTCAGTTCTACCTCCTAGCTCATTGTGTACTGTCTTGGGTCTTAAAAGTTTATAAGTGGACATCCAGGGTACAGCAGTTGGTCTGTATTTGCCTGGAGCTACAGAGGAAGAAGGAGGAGGAAATGAAATGTGAGGCTGATTGCCTCCATGAACAACTGCCTCTTTTGCCATGAGACCAGAACTGGATGGTGTCCAGCTAACATTACTGAACATTTTGATTAAAAATTCTATGGAAGAATTCTGATCAGTGGGGGGAAATGCAGAACAGAATTTCAAATTCTCATGGAATCCAGATTTTCTGGAGCCTTGGAGGCTGGATGAACCCCTGAAACTACTGCCCTGAGATAATCTTTAAACTTTAAACCAAAAATATCCCCTGAAGTATTCTCAAAACCAAACAATCGTTCAGCTTAACTAGTAAAGAATGTCTGCCTTGAGCATTGAGCTCTTTTAAGATCTATCTATATAGCATCAAACTGACAACAGCAACTGGAAAGATTAGACGGGAAACTTAGGCAGCAGTGAGTTTATGTTAATGGGGA